ACTATTAAAAAAATTCTTTTTTACATGTAGCTTCTAAATGGTGTAGTACAAAATATAATTTTGGATTTCAACATTTATATTCTTCCTTGGCATAATGTGAGGAATAAATAGGCCAAATATACATAAAAATTCCCTGCACAGTATCTAGAACATAATATCTAGAACAGCATCTAAAACCTGCCCTCAGGTTTCTGGATAGTGAATGTTCTTAGTTTTTACAGGGCACAACACTTCAACTTCCCAAGTCTTTCCACGTGTAACAGATGAGTAACTTTCATGCCTGGATACTAGCAGATACCTTGTTCTGCCTCTAGATGAGATCTTGATATCCTTCTGGGAGGATTCATCGTCTGACTTCATGTCGTCTGACGAAGGGTGTTCATGAAGGTTCTCGTCTTTCTCTTTGCTTTCAGTCTTGATCTCTGTTGGGACGACAGCTCCAGGCTGACTGTGCAAGGCAGCTACACGAGGCAAAGGACACAGACAGACAGACAGACTCACTTACGCTGCCAAACGGAGAGTAAGGAGCACTCTGGCTGGTGGATGTTCTTAGTTGTTACAGGGCACGCCAGAAATGTGAGCTTTAGGGAAGCACACTACTCAAATCTGGGAGAAAACATGTCCACGCTTTGTTTTATGATTTCAAGTATTTTTACTTAGAAGAAGCAGCCCAACCATGATGCTCAGCTTATTGCTCACGTTCAGGCACTGCCTACCCAGCACATGAGGTCTGAGACACTTGGTGAACTTTAGACACCACCTTCTAAGATGCTGTCAAGCTAAAGGAAACGAACATTTGCCAGGTGAACAACAAAATGGGCAGCACAGTTAAATATAACTGGTAAACTTTATTTTGGTGGTTTTACTACTATCTCTGTATTTACACTTACTTACAGGCTCTATTATTAACACTGATAGCATCTTTTTTTTAAAATCAAAACTGTTTCTTCTCCAATTACGTTACCATCTTCAGAGCACGAGCTATCATCATTTAGTGTTTAATGTACTTAGAAACGACTCATTGCCCCCAGGGTTATGCAGTTTTGCTCATAAGAAGTAATGCAGGAAGATACATGGCCAAAGGAGAACAGGGAAAACTCCCCAGGTCAAGCTGCAGGGCATACGCAGCTGCTGGCCAGAGCGCCCAGCACAGCGAGCCGGGCTGCTCTCGCCCCTGCTCAGGCAGCAGCCTTGCTGTCTGGGGGCCTCCCTCCCTGTGACTTCTCACTCACAGAGGTCAGCTCTCTCGGGAGCAGTGATAGCATGCAGAACGGTATCTCTGCACTGCTGCTAAAAACTGAAAACACAGCTACCTCTATAGTTCTCTTGTGTTTTATGGTTCAAGTCTGTGCTTGAAGCGGTGACGGCACTAGACAGGACTGAGTGATTGCCATTGAGACTGACAGAATCTTCTCGATGAGCTCCAACCTGAAGTAAAAACAACAGAGAAAGTGGTCAGGACCCGCTCCTTTTCCTATGTGTTCCCTGAGTCCCTCATGCCGAGCTCAAGCCGTGGGCCTCTGCTTCCTTAGCTCAGCTTCCCGAGTGCCTGCAACCACAAGTGTGCACCCTTGTACCCAGTTTGCTCTCAACTCTTTCCTGGGACTTCATACAGAAAACAGTGCCACTTACCCAATTTAAAACATTTTTTTTTGTTTTAAAAAAACAAACTTTTGTGGTTTTGCAAACTTTTCTAAAAAAGTACAATTTCCAAATTTTAAATTCCACAGAGGGTTTTTATGAGAAGCAAATGACCTACTAGGGATACAGCGTTGTGTACGCCACAAAGCACTGCACAGAGGTCTGTTATTGATCCTATGTAAATCCAAAACCATGTTTCTTTCTTTTTTTGAAGCCGGGAACTGAACTCAGGACCGTGTGCTTGCCAGGAAGGCACGGTGCTGCTGAGATATATCCCCAGTCTCCAAAACTATACTTCATTTACTACGTAAATACTGGTAATTAAAACATATACAACCTTGTATTTAACAAAATACTGCTACATTCTAAGTTCTAATAACATCTATTTAAAGTTGACCCCTCCTAAATATATATAGTATCTTATGTTTTCTTTCTCTTTCCTCAGTGAAGGATGGCAAAGGAAAACAAAGGAACTTGATAAAAAAAAATCTGCACTGCTAGGCAGCAGCTTTAATCACATGTATTTAAGCAACATTAACCTGAAATACGAAGGCAAATCATGCAAACATGACCATGTATTTAGCTGATGCAGTATTTTCAGTAAAACTTCTTATAGATGAAACTTTTTATTGCCTGAAGTTATATGTAAGAATAACTTTTTCACTAAATCCTTCAATCCTTATAAACTGTCAGTGCTGACTTCTCTTGGGTAATTCATATAGTGTTTATATGGCTATATGACTCTCACCCTAAGTAGTATAAATACCCCAGTGTGAGTTTATCCTTTGGTTTTCTGTAAGCAATCAGAAAGAACCAAAGCAAAGTTTTAGGCCATTTGGCTATGGATCTGACTACAGTTCATCTGTTTTTCTACCAAACCTAAATATTTGTTTTTCAACCTTATCTTCAATGCACTTTTTAAAAATCCATATAACGTATACCACAGCTTCTTTGAAATTACCAGAGGATTAGTCATTGCTAAGAATTACTTGTGACACTCCTTGTGTGGATATTTGAGACTACGTCCTTTTTTAAAGCTACATAAATATTACCATAGATTAGAATCCTAAAAGGGGACCACAGAAACGAAGTCGACTTCTAACTTCCTCAGCACTGTAAGTTTTAGCTTTGTATTTTCCCTTCCTTCAAAGCATTTGAAAAAAAAAAATCTGTGAAGACAGGGCATGGTGGAGCATGTCTATAATCCCAGTGCTGTGGGAGGCTGAGGCAAGAGGACTACAAGTTTGCAAATTTGAACCCAGTGCTGGTAACCTAGTTATTTAACAAAAGGATGTCTCAAATTAAAAAAAGGGCTGGTGATGGCCCGGGTTATGGTTTAGTTTGGCCACTGGTTTCATTCTGGTGCTCCAAGAAACAACCCAAAAACATATCTTCATAACCACAGAAGAAGTGGGCTAAACACCGTATTCAAGAGAAATTTGTTTTTCTTTTCTTTTCTTGGCCAGCTCAGCCCCTTTGAAGGCGGGGCTGGCGCAGCATGTGATGCCTGGGAACCTTGGTTCCCTGGACCTGCCTAAGCAGGCTCTTTAGACCGCTATGCTATCTCACAGCCCCAGAAATTTGTTTTTATTTTTTTATTATTTGTTTATTTATGTATTTAGGACAGGGTCTATAGGGTCTCACTACATAGATCAGACTTGTAGTGATCCTTTTGTTTTCAGCCTCCCATGTGCTGGGATAACAGGCATGTACCACCACGCCCAGTCTCTGCACATCTTGGGGGTGGGGCCAAGCTGGGGATCCAACCCCAGTCCTTGTGTCTGCCTAAGCAGGTGCTTTAGTCCCCTGAGCTATCTGGCTGGCCCCAGAAATTTATTTTTAAAATGTTTCACGAAATCCTATTTCACAGGCAGGCATCTTGGCTTTGTCTGTTCTTAACACATAACGGTGTCTTGCTAACTATAGGTTACTCACTGTAACCTATGCGGTATTGGGGACCTCCACGGCAGGTCAGTTCAAAATCCATTTTATACAAACAGATGTGAGGTGGGGCTGGGGAGATGGCTCAGTAGAATATTGCTTCCCTGGCAAGTGCAAGGGCCTGAGCTCAATCCCCGGTTCTGCCACAAAAATAGATGTGAGGGCCGGCTAAATAGCTCAGTGGGTTCAAATTCCTGCTTAGGCAGGTGCAGGGTCTGGGGTTTGATCCCTGGGCCTGCCATGCTGGCCCTGCCCCTGGGGCACACTGAGACAGCGATTGAGACTGGGCATGGTGGCGAGCGCCTGTGATCTCAGCTCTTGGGATGCTGTAAACAGAAGGATCTCTATAAGTCCGATCTATGTAGTGAGACCCTGAACACCCTGTCCTAAATCTAAAAAAAAAAAAAAGTGAGATAAACATCTTAGAATATATAGCAACCTTAGAATATATAGCTTAAAACCTTAGAAGCCTAGGCCTATTCTAAGGTAAAATATTACTAAGACAATTTAAATTGGCTCAGGAAAATTGTATTTGGTACAAGGTGTCACTACGCAGCTTCCTGCCTCAGCCTTCCCAATGCTGAGGTAACAGGGGTGTGCTACCATGCCCGGCTCTGGTGGCCAGCACAGCAGCAGGGCAGCACGGCATGTGGCACTGGGGACCAGACTTGGGTCCTTCCGCTTGCAAGGCAGGTGCTTATCTCCCAAACTCAAGAGAAACTTTACAGGCTACAGCAACAACTGAGATTTCTGTTTGTATTTATAATGGTATGTGGACTTAGAACTTTCTATAGTCTCTGGTAATATGTACTAATTCTGTTCTTAGCTAGGATTTTAAACTATCATTACTAAAAATATGTTTATTTACCTCATATTACACATATAAACCATTTTATAATTTTGAAGGACAATACCTATAAAATTTTCACTCAATTAAGTGAAAATACGCCTGACAAATTCTTTTTATTAGTATAATTTTTTATTTCTCTGGAACTTAACTAATAAAAATATTCTACCACCTTTTTGATGGAAGGTTTGGAGATACAGGATTATTATCTAAACAATAAACCTTAGGGATTCTGTCTTTCCCTTAAAGAAAAACACAGGTGTTACTTCATTTGTTTTGTAATATAAATTCCAGCAAATATTTTTGCCTCTATGAAATATTACAAACTATTTTCTCACACTAACTTACACTACTGGGTTCCAAAGGAAAATTTAATTGGTACACAGTACAAATGCAAACCTTCTAAAATGGTCTCAGACTAGCAGAAAACTTGAAGTCTGGAGTTTTTTGCGTTAGCAGGAGCTTTCTGTAACCTGACCCACCTGGCAAATGGCCTCACACATCTTCTAGAGTGTTATAGTCCTAGCTCTGCTCACCCCTTACTCACCCTGGCTCCACACCCTCCCTTTATCTGCTGTTCTACCCCCTCCCCTTCAGACACAACAGGTGGATAAACTGTTCTTTGAGCCTGGAGCCTTGGGCCAGGCAGCCAGGACCCTGTTTAATTGTCCAGCTCGTTAGCATACAGCTGACAGGCTGCCTGGAAGGAGGTGCATCAGGGAAGGCAAAGCTCTTCCCTGCTATGCTTTAAAATTCAATTACTATGAAGAACACTATTTCAGAACAGAAGGCCCATCCCATTACATGACATCATTCGGCATACTGAGCCTTCATAATTTGTGTACGCCTGTCTGACTTTGGTTGGAGCACCCAACAAGGCACTTGTTTGCATTTAACCCAGACAGTAGCCTTAGCACTCACAATGGAAAAATGTTAAATCTGATTAGTTTATGAATAGGAGATCTTGTGAATTAAGGCACCAACTGCAACTACTCAGTATGAATTCCTCTGATTTTCGGTCTCATTCTAGGAATTTGTTCAATGTGTACTATTCACCAGATACTGATGATTTAAATCATTCAGTATTTTAATCTATAGATGGGTTAAAGGATATAATCTGGCTGGGGAGATGGCTCAGTAGAGTAAGTGCTTTCCTGGCAAGCACAAGAGTCTGAGTTCAATCCTCAGTTCTGCCAAAAAGACAAAAAGGATATAATCTGTCTACTCTAAGGTATTTTACTTAGATGTTTTATTATAGGAATTCGGTAGTACACAACTCGTTGTTTCTTTTTTAAACAACGCTTCCCCACATGCGTAACTTGTCTGGATTTCTTTCTTCTTGATTTTTTTTTTAGGGAGGGTCTGCAGGGTGTTCTGGGGCTCACTGCTGGATTGGACTCGTAGTGATCCACCAGTTTACAGCCTCCCAAGAGCTGGGATTACAGGCGCACCACCACGCCCAGTCTCATGGATTTCAAACTTTTTTTAAAAATTGCCAGTTTGAACAATTTTTAATTTTAAAACATTACCAAAACCCTTAAAAAGCACAAAACAAAATGTAGCTTATGCAAAACAAAAAAATTTAGGAACTTCCAATTAAGGAAAAAGAACGAGGCTGAAGTAGTAATGGAGCAGTCCTCAGTAAAACCCTCTATTGGGTGAAGCAGCCCTGTTTTCTATAGCATACAAACTCACACTACTAATCTTAACTACTATTAAATGGAAGATAGAGTTTAAACTTACTTTGACAATTAACAGAAATGCTTAAGTAATTTTGAATAAAATACGCTATTTGCCTAACAATAAAAATCTCTAGCAAAAAGGAAAAAAAAGCTGAGCCTGTGTCCCTTGAGGTTTTTAATGAAAGCAACAGACTCCATGCATGCAAGTTTCTTTTTAGATGGTTTCTTTTGCGCCAAACTCCCATTAATATAGAAAGATTCTAATCTCTGGTCTTCTGCTGGAGTCAGGCTCTGACTGAGGAATAACTAACACTTAA